GTTAGAATGACTTCGTTCAGCTTTAGCTAAATTGAAAGGCGTGAGCTCTGCAAACGGAGCGCGATCCCGTTTGCGCACTTGTTTCATGACCCTTGTGAAGGTTGTGCTAGTACTGTCATCCACTTCCATCGGCTGTTCTCTCTGCAGTTCTCTGCAGTTGCCCATTAGCACCTTCAGATCGCTCATGCCCGACAGGATGGGCCAAGTTCGGGGTATACGAACAAGGCTCCTTGTGTTTTCCATGCTTGCCAAAATAGGTCTTTACTGTGCTGACAACTTCAGTTGACGCTACAATCAAAAAGCGCGCTAATTCTCTCATACACTGATCATCGTATAGTGCTTGTTCGATCTCTTTATCAATCTCGTTTTCGGCCATCATCTGAACGAAAACTTTCTATATGATAATCCAATATCGCCCCGAGAGGAGAAAGTCTCAATTTACGCGAGAATGGAATCGAACAAATTCCAGAGTAACTAGCTATCAACTAGCTAGTACTTATAAATCAAACAGTCAGCGCTTGTGTAGCGTATGCCTTTTTTGCACCTTTCCCGCGCCCACTGAACTCTTCAACTAGCAATAGCAGCTGACGGCAATTGAACCTCGCCTAAGCCTGCTAAAGCAGTTAACTGCGATTGGTGCACACTTTTACAAGGCTAGTTGGCAAAAAAAATTTTGCGCAGAGTTCGGCCTTTTAAGAATGCTTACCCGCCCACTAAGATATCAAGTGGATCGATATCGATAATCGTCTACTGCTCTTAGTGGTGCTACCCCAGCTATCCAGCTCCACCGCGACTGACGGCACAAGAGCTGGTCGCACTCTCAGAAGCTCGAGGGCAACTCCGCTTCTAGTGCTACAAATTCACTTATCCTAATGCTCGACCAGGATCCCGGTTCGGCCCCCATGTGGGTTTAGTGGTTTTCTTTGGTTCCTGGCGAGCACGAGGATAGTGCTTTATCCAAACAAAAAACACAAACACAATAATGCGGGAGAGACTCCCGAAGAAAAGAAAACAGTTAATAACGAAACCAATGGCGGCGGTCCTCCCTTATATAGGCGTTCCGCCGCGCCGTAATCGATAACGAGTAGATCACCCTAAAAATTTGACCATCGACCATTTGACTTGCTGGTCCTTCGACTCTACAATATATATATATATATATATATACATATA